GATGGCCACATGTACAAACACAATTTTAAAAGGAAATGATCGGAGGCAAATCACCGAAAAACTTTGAAAGGGGTTAAATCAATTAGAAAATTCAGGTTTTTTTGTTCCAGATTTTGCCACACTACCTTAGATTTTAAAAAGTATCGAATTGTTGCTCTAATAATATTTGATTTTTACAAGAAGAGAGAAAATGAGTAATGCAAGAACCTTAGATAGAAGCAGAGTAGAAGGTTTATTGATAAGGTCATTATGTTTAATCGAACACCGAAATCTATCAAATGAGCAGTTTTTACGAAAAAATCCAAAACCGTACTCTTGGTTCACACCAATATAATTTGTGCCGAACTGCTTTTGTGTTATTGCTAGATGCTATAGAAGAAAACAGACTAATTACCTTAGGATTACCCAGAACTAAACAAGAAGTATTAGATTATTTAGAAACCAGAAAGCCAAATATCGTACCAGCTTACCAAGAAAGTTCGGAATTAATGATAGTCAACAATCAATTTAATCAAATCAACAGCCTAGTTTATCCCAATCAACCTTTTAATTTCCAAGCTCTCAGGGCTGAAATCAAAAGATTAAAAGTCCAGGATTTAACTAGACAAATTCCCTTAAAGAAGCAAGAATTAGAACAGTTAATTAATACTGCTAAGGAACAACTTGCTAGAGCTGAAAGATATATCTGAGAACAATTAATCCAAAAGCACTCTAAAATTCTTCAATCAAACGACAATTCTGAAAAGGAGGAATTAAACGAACTTAGAGAGATTTTGTGTGAAAAATTAATCCAAGAAGAATTACAAACTCTTTTAAATAAGCAAATTGAAATATTTACTTTAGAAAAGCATCTAAAAGATATACAAACTGAATAAATAGCAATTGCTTTATGGAGTTTCTAAGCTCGTTAATTTCAATCTTAATTTCTTACTAGCTCTAAGATTGCGAGCAAAATCTGAGAATTTGATAGTAAACCAAGTTAGTTGTGGTTGAAAAGTTTTGGTATTATCAAATACAGTTTATGAGGAGATCTTAACAATAAAAACCCATGCATTTTTTTCACACCAATCATCAATCCTATTCACCATCATTTCCTTGACCACATTTTAACAAAAAATAATTAACTTCCTAATAGTATTTTCCTTATCGTAATCACATTTTAATCTTACAACATTCCCAAACTCCTTGTAATGCAAAATATTAAAACTCTTAGCCAAATAACAAACCAATCCATTACAAATATACAACTAATAAAATTCCATTCCTTGACTATACTATTTCCCAAACCTTCTTTTGAACAAAAAGATTATTTCAACTGGATACACGATTTTATTTACATAAAACGATTCGATAGAGATTGGTGTTATATATAACTTAACAACTTCTTGTTTATGTATGTAAATTAACTATTTCATTAGTAAATAGGACAATTTTCTTTTCAAATGATTTGTCTTTTCTAATATTTGGTAAAAAAAAATCAAATATAAATTATAAATATCGCCATATAATAATTACATGAAATTTGATCAAATATCGATGTTATCGTGCAAACATTCAGTTAAAATTATTCATATCTGCTGATTTTAGATAATAACTCAGTGCTCCTTTTTCAACATCAATTCCGTGCTTATATCAATAACTAAATACCATAAGAATTTCGGATAAAATATAGTATAGGTGCCACTATACTATATTTTATCCAGAATTTCCTTTCCTGCATTTTTGGCAATCTGTAAAATTTAACTTAACAAATTGCATGTAAGCTTGGCAATTTTATCTGAAGACTGTTTTTTTAGGTAACATTTTAAATGCGAAAGAAATTTTCACTGAGTGAGAAGTTTTGTTTATCAATATATCAGAAAGAAATAAATAGATTTTAAACTTACAAAAATGGTTTTTCGTTTTATATATGTTACAGAATTATGAATTATTAAAAAACAATTAGAATGAGCGGATTTAAACAGTTTATCATGTCGAATGGACAAGATCTAATATATCCTGTGTGCAAAAGGTTAATGTTGCTACTTTGACGGGTCAAGCTATTTTGTGATATTATCATATGTTAATGTTGTGCCTCATACTAACGCTTGCCTCAGATCACAGATGTAGATTTTAGGTGAGGTGCATAACCTATCGATCTGTTAATATGTACATAAAAACAATATAAATATATATATATGTATAGAAAAAACAAGCATCATTGAAGATTGAACGTACTGAAAAGACTTAGACAGAAAGAACGTGCTGAAAAGACTTAGAATAAAGAATATGCCGCAAGATTTAGGCAAAAAATCTATATGCATAGTGAAACCTTAGGCAAAGAAATTCAAAGAAAAGAAGAGATTTAATGCTACTGTTGGTGGTAAAGACCAAAGAAATTCAAGAATGCTATAGGAGGCAAAGCGATGCCAAAGTGATTCAAGATATAGAATGCTGCTGGAGTTAAGAAAGTCGTCAAAATGATTTACAATGCTACTAGTGAAAAAACGCCGAAGAGATCCAAGAAATAAAGAATAAAAAAAGAGCCCAAGTAAAAGTTTTTTTTTTATTCAACTTATTTTACTCTATTACTTGCACCTAGTGTTGGCAGGCGAAACTATTTTTGGAAAATGGCGAATAACCCCGGCGAAAAACGAAACCAGGCAAAACTCTGGCGAAACCCCTGGTAAAGTTAAAACTCCTGGGAAAGTCAAAACTCGGCGAAGATCAAATCCTCAAAGACTTTAAAAATAACTGAGCCATGTTAGTAAATCAAAATATTTTGCATGTGGCTATTAAACACAGTATGTGTCCCATTTAAGAATATACAAAGTAGATTACCGGCTTTTGAAACTTCGAAGTTAGTAAATTCAACCTTGAAAATTCAAAGCCTAAAATCTTGTTTTCTATTAGTAGCGCTTATCTATGTATTAATATTATTTATGTAAAATAACCTATCTAAATATTTAAATAAATTTATTGTTAGATTGTTGAGATTTTTCTCTTTTAATATTTCAAAGCCTAAAATCTTGTTTTCTTTTAGTAGCGCTTATCTATGTATTAATATTATTTATGTAAAATAAACCTATTTAAATATTTAAATAAATTTATTGTTAGATTGTTGAGATTTTTCTCTTTAAATATTTTAAAACCTTTAATTAAATACTATACATACGTATGTAAGTAGTCCGTTAACACAAAATTACTGGCAATTATTTCCCGATGCTCTAATTTATTTGGGAAATTCTATTTTCACCCGGATTAAAGTCACCCGATACATAATTTTTATTATACTTTATAATATAAATTCATATAATATCATAAAATCCATCTACCCTAACCTCTAACTAACCAATCTATAGAATTTTTGGTTGGTTATAGTAGTTTGTATTATTTAATATAATGGAAATTATATATCGGGTGACTTTAACCCGGGTGAAAATAGAATTTCCCAATTTATTTAGCTTTAAATCTTAGGTGTATTAATTTGCAAATTCGTGTACTGTGTATATAGGGTTGTTAACTTACATGTAAATTTACTGTATGTAAATTTATTGTAACTGACGTAAATTACCTTGTAAGTTATGTAAGTTAATATATAGAGATTTAATATTGTAATAAAAGAAAACAGAAATTACGTATAAGCGACGTAAATTACTTGTTATATAAATTTCACTTAATGCCAGTAGAAATTATTACATGATTCGGCCGGCTTTAGTACATATATTGTAGCTTACATATGGGCCATGTAAGTTACAGTAAATTACGGTGTAACTTACATGTAAATTATGTCACGTAAGTTTTAACAACCCTATGTGTATATCAAAACAAATTTGCATACAGTAAAATGAAAAATTTAGCGTAGCCTAAAATTAGCGTAAGGGCAGACTTGGGATGTGACAGGAGTTAATTTATACTAAAATTCGCAAGAAATTATTTTTTATTAATACCCAAAAGGTGGTTGCTAAGCGAAATTTTGAGTTATAAACGGTTTTTTTAAAGAAAGCAATAATTTTGCATTGCAACTTATCGTGTAACCTGATTGGCTTTCTACGGTATATATCCTGTATATACATATAGTGTACAAATAGAAATTGCCTATAATGAAATTACCAATTTTATTGTAAAAAATAGATACGTATATTGTACCAAATATATAATTGTTTTTTATAGGGATTTACGTGTTATTTTTGCAATGATTTATTTTTAAATTCAGTAGGGAAATAGCCTCCGGCCGTCAATTAATAAAACGGGAGAATAACGCCTTTATTCCTGCAAAGCGGTGAATAAGTAATAGTCATATCCTGGGCAGTTGGGTATAAGCGGGGCTGAAAGTCTAGCTTATACACATAGTGCCCAGGGTATAACTGATTTATGTCCTGCGATCTTGATATAGTGACCAGGGTATAAATAGTATTTATCTAGCATGATGTGACGGATACATCATCCAGATATCTAGTTTATCTGGCAGGTATGACGTATACACTGACAGAACCATATTAGTGCCCAAACAAACTCTGATTAATAATAAACATTGATAATTCGAATAATTGGTATATAACTATAAAGGAGCGATTGTTTTTTGATCTAACTCTTTCTTTAATACTTCAATGTCACATAATAAACTACCAACCGACAAAGACATTTTAGAGCCTTTCAAACCTTTGCGAGTACAAAATATGGATACATGTATGGCAAAATGGTTACGAACAGTTGATGGATATAGAGACATACTCAATTATGAATTCGCGGATTTTCCTTGCAAATTTTTTCCTATGGTTAAAACAAATAGACGGGAAGGAATATAAAGTTAAAATATCCATGCTTCTCTCACACAATATTTAAAAGAATATTCAGCTATTAAGCCGTGCAACATCTGGGACTCTTACAAATTCAGAAAACATTACGAAGATTATCCTGAAATTTATAATGGTATTTATTAGGTCACGCAAGTTGATTTTTCGTTTTGCATAACTCGCCAGCCCATTTTTTTTTAATTTTTTTAATTTATTTTGCCCCAATTATGTTAATTTATGTTATTTTTGCCATTTAGTTTTTTTCATAAGTTATTCCGGTATCATTGATATAGATCTTGTTTTTCCGATAGAACTAATAGAAAAGGATTCAACTTCTAACCCAAATTTTGATTCCATGTTGTACAAAGCAAAAAATCCACTTTTGCGGCCTTATACATGAACATGAGTCTATTAATTTACTGTATATTAAAAAAAAAACTAACAACTGATCACGAATTTTGAAATCCATGTAATACAAAGTGAAGAATCAACTTGGTGCGGTCTATCCATATTTAATTATGAAATAATATAGTGTTCGTTGATTTGATTTGGTTTTATTTTTTTTTTAGATGCAAATTTAATGATGGCAGCAGAAATATTTACATATAATAACTAGGAGCTTGAGTTGCTTAAAGGGAGTTTAAAATAATTGAAACATGTATTGTGTTTAGGGTTGGAAGGTTGTAACTTACATACTTGCCTTATATGTAAGTTACATGTAAATTTCATTCAAAATTTTTTGATGTAAGGTAAGTTATTATATATAATATAATAAATTAACTAATCAAATTATTTATACTAATATTATCTCTAGTAGAATGGTATGCATTTTACCAAAAATTACTTTACTAACAGCTTAATTCATTAATAATCAATTTATTAACAAGTTTATTTCACTGACAAGTCTATTTTAC